CACGCACACACACACGCTTGCATGCACGCGCGCGCGCACGCAAGCACGCACGGACGCGCACGCCCGCACGCCCGCACGCAAGCACGCACGCACGCACGCACGCACGCACGCACGCACGCACGCAAGCACGCACGCACGCACGCACGCACGCACGCACGCACGCACGCACGCACGCACGCACGCACGCACGCACGCACGGCACGCACGCACGCACGCACGCACGCACGCACGCACGCACGCACGCACGCACGCACGCACGCACGCACGCACGCACGCACGCACGCACGCACGCACGCACGCACGCACGCACGCACGCACGCCCGCACGCACGCACGCACGCACGCACGCACGCCCGCACGCACGCACGCACGCACGCACGCACGCACGCACGCACGCACGCACGCACGCACGCACGCACGCACGCACGCACGCACGCACGCACGCACGCACGCACGCACGCACGCACGCACGCACGCACGACGCACGCACGCACGCACGCACGCACGCACGCACGCACGCACGCACACACGCACGCACGCACGCACAAACGCGCACGCACGCACGCACGCACGCACGCACGCACGCACGCACGCACGCACGCACGCACGCACGCACGCACTCACGCACGCTCGCACGCACGCACGCACGCACGCACGCACGCACGCACGCACGCACGCACGCACGCACGCACGCACGCACGCACGCACGCACGCACGCACGCACGCACGCACGCACGCACGCACGCACGCACGCACGCACGCAGCACGCACCCACCCACCCACCCACCCACCCACCCACCCACCCACCCACGCACGCACGCACGCACGCACGCACGCACGCACGCACGCACGCACGCACGCACGCACGCACGCACGCACGCACGCACGCACGCACGCACGCACGCACGCACGCACGCACGCACGCACGCACGCACGCACGCACGCACGCACGCACCACGCACGCACGCACGCACGCACGCACGCACGCACGCACGCACGCACGCACGCACGCACGCACGCACGCACGCACGCACGCACGCACGCACGCACGCACGCACGCACGCCACACGCACACACACACCACACACACACACACACACCACACACCACACACCACACACACACACACCACACACACACACCACACACACACCACACACACACACCACACACACACACACCACACACACACACACCACACACACACACACCACACACACACACGCACACACACACACGCACACACACACACACCCACCACACACACACACACACACACACAATCACACACCACACACACACACACCACACACACACACCACACACACACCACACACACACACCACACACACACACACACGCACGCGCACACACGCACGCACGCACGCACACACACACGCACGCACGCACGCACGCACGCACGCACGCACGCACGCACGCACGCACCCACGCACCGACGCACCCACCCACCCACCCACCCACCCACCCACACACACACACACACCAACACACACAACACACAACACACACACACACACACCAACACACACCAACCACACACACACACACCAACACACACCAACCACACACCAACCACACACCAACCACACACCAACCACACACCAACCACACACCAACCACAGCATACAACACAACAAAACAACAACACCACAACACACCACGCAGACGCAGCACAACACGCCACACAAACACACAATACACACACACACACTCGAGGTCGAGCGAGAGATCAAGATAACTCATTGGGAGAAATCCCTGATTAGAGTCAAGACATTTGGGGAGTGAGGGCGCGTTTCATGTTCCCAGCAGTTTGGCCCAAGGAATTACCTCATGGGCAACCTGCGGCCGGACAAAGTCCCCAATGCGAGCTCTACCATAGGCTCCCTGGACCTCGGCGGCGCTTCTGTGCGGGCCCCGGGGCAAGAGCCTTTGGTCGTTTGCTGTCTGCTTCTCAGGGTTTCTTCAGTGGAGAATGGGGATGGGGGCCGTTGGCAGGCCCAGATCGTGTTCATCCCCCAGAAGTCCATCATTCAACATGCATTCCCCCTGCGGCTGGGTGCCGAGCTCAGTTTGCGTTGCATCACTCCAAAACGTTCTCTGGTGCAACCCGAGGACCTCACCAGCTGCAGGTGTACTCGTACTCCTTTCTGCGCTTTGGCATTCGGGAGGCGCATCAATCCGAGCGAGCCGTCGCTCGGCGAGCCGTCGGCGGGCCGTCGGCGGGCCGTCGGCGAGCCGGCGCCGTCCGGCCAGGCAGCCCACCATGCGGCCATGCTGGTGATATCGGATGCGCTGATGTCCGTGCAGTCTGACGCTTGCTTGAAGTTGGAGCTGTTGTTTTGATTAGACATGCGCCCTTTCCTTCGGCTTTCCTCGCGGAGCCAAGCGACAGGCAAGGTTAGATAGAGAAGGAACACGCAGCCTGTTTCATGTGAGCGTTTGGCTCTGATCCTGTTTGCCAGATTCTATTGCCAATCCACATGTAACGTATCGTGAGCTGGCGATTCCTCAGGCGCATTGGCAACAAAATGACCACTTTGCCACACACGAGCTGTGAGACGCGCACCGCTGAGGAGAATTCCATCAAGCATCCCTGCTTTTCAAAGGGGTATGTCTACATTCCCAAGTTCTCCTACAGCGACCAGAGCTTCGCGCCCATTCAGGCCCAAGTCGCAACACGCTTGAGGGCAGGCGAGGTTACCGACCCAGGCATCTTGGTGTTTCCCTTCCCGGTTTGGTGCGTCATTCATCCATGTCTCATCCCAAGCCGGCTCCAGAGGTCTCCATGAAGGGCACCAGCGATTTCGAGGGCTGCGAAGCCCTGGTGAAGCGGATCTTCGACAAGAACGCGCCGTGCCTCATTGAGCAGTGCCCCTTGGGATGTCAATGGGATGTCATGGGACGTTGGGGAAGGAGAAAGCGCAAGGAAGGAGGTTTGGGCCATTTGGACCCCATGCCGGGGTCCAATGAGACCCATGCCCAAGCAAAGCAGATTTTCGGATTTTGTGGAGGCTTGCAGGGTGGCTGGAGGCTTCCCAGCTGATTGAGGCTCTTTCTACGGGGTCTATCAGCCCAGAGTGCTTGATGTGAAGTTTTTGGCGTTTGCAGCTTGTTTGCAGTTTTGGTGCTTGCGTTACTTTGCCACTTGGGGTTCGCGCCCTCTCTCCAAGTCTCATTTCGCTGACATCGCGGGAGATCTCGGAGTTCCGGAGACTCAGTCAAAGCAGAGCGCGTGTGTCGGTGACCTGTGACCTGTAGTTTGTGGTTCCGCAAGTATTTTTGTGGTCCACCTTGTTAGACATGGCCTCGAATTGCATTCATTGTTTAACTGCTTCTCTCCCCCTGATGCAGAGTGAATTGGGACCAAAGGGACTTTGCGTTGAGGTCCTTTTTGAGCAAAGGCTTGTCAAAGCCGGGACTTCCAGAAGCGTCCTAAGGGCACTCAGCCAGTCACAGCGCGGCACGTGAGGAGAAGGGGAGGCTGGAAGACCTGCTCGTCGCCGCGCGGTACGTGTGCTCTCTGAGCCGGGCGCAGCTGGACCTGCTCTTCAAGCGCGTCCAGGCGTGGCCCGTAGGCCCGGGACGCAAGTGACATGCGTCCCCCACAGGGAGTCCAGAAGATTGGAAAATTGGAGCACCTCAAAAGTGAGCGGAGTCCCATTTAGCAGCATTTAGCAGGGGCGGTTTCCTTTTGGAAGCGTGCTGAAACCCGTCTATTTCCTTTCACTTTGTGGTTCTGCCAATTTTGACTTTCATTTGACGGGGTTCCATGCATCGATTGAAGCCGGGATCTAAACCGTTATAAGGGTTAGTTTCGCATGCTCTTCACCCATCATGCTTTCCCAGGTGTTTTCGCTGGGTTTTGGGCAATGTTTTCAAGACAGTGTGGATGGATTGAGAAAAGCAAAACAATCAGCCCGTAAAAGAGGTGGCCGTCCATACAATTCCTTGTGAAGTTTCCGGTGTGTGCAGGGCTGGGCAGGCCAAATGACCTTAGCCGTTTTCGGCTAAGGACGAGACAATCAGAATGCACCTCTGCTTCCACGCCACTTTTGCGGTGACTTTGCTTCACTCTGGTTATGGTATTGAGGACGCAGTGGGTTGGGTTGCTGGGGGTTGGGGCCAGCCCTCGAAGAGTGCAGGGTTTATCCACACGTAAATTTATGGGATTTGACTGCAGGAGAACGATATTTTATTCAAGTCCAACCACAATGGCCAGCCAATCGATTGGGCGGTGGGTGCCATGATGTATGCCATCAATCAGGACGGTGATGTGATCATGTGTTCTGGCCCGCCATTCCAAGCTCTAAGCGCATGGTATGCAAAGGACAACAAATTGTCACGGCCGCTGGTCAACGTGAGCACGGCCCATGTTTTGGATGTCTGACCGCGTGGCACCACCTGGTGCAGCCTTGCAGCTTAAGGCCAAGGCACGGCGTGCGTAGATGTGTATAGCTTCTTAAGTGTAGCATGGTAGGCACATTCGACGCTCTTAGACCTTCGGCCGGGCCGATGGGAAAGCCTTGCAGATTACGCCCCGGTTATTTTCAATGACGTTGAGATCTGCTTGGGGCCAACGTGTTCTGCGGTGCGTGGCTCAAGGGGCAGCGCTCTGAACCATGTAAATTTGGAGAAGGGCCGGCCGCCTCGAATCAAGTGCTATGACGCAATTTCAGTGGCAAAAAAGTTCGACTTGGAGGAAACAAGTAGATTTAACTGCAGATTCGACTTGGAGCACCCCTAGGCCAAAAGGGACTGCGGACGCCAAAGTCAGGTAGGACTGTTCCAGTGATGGCGTGAGATCCAAGTCCCGACCGGCCACTGCCTCAAGGGCTGGGGCCAGCAGCGATCTGCTGTCAGCACGCGCATGTTAGTCTGTGCCAACTGACGCGGAAAGTGATTCGGTGTCTTTTGGGGTGTTGCTGACCCAAGTGTGGAAGAGCTCTCCAATATAGAGTTTCCCAGTTCTTGAATCTCTTCTGGCAGCCTCGTTTATGGCGGACGGCCTGCATGTGTCGCCGCCTTGGCCAGGATGCTAAAACGTCCCCTCCATGAGGAAGGAGGGGAGGAGAAGAGACCTCGCAGAGAGGACCTCGCGTTTTCAGTTTTCAAAGCTCTGAGTGGGATGGGTTTGGTATGAGGAGGGCGAGTGCACGCCCACCTTCAAGCTCCTGGCGCCAAAGACCTTGGCAAGCGCCATTCAGCCGGGTTGCCTGGCTTCGAGGGTTCCTATTCAGTTAAAGATACTTGATGGCTGGGACGGGGGAGCCTCGAGTTTTTGGCCTGAGATTCGGAGTTTGGACGCCCTCCACAGGTTTAGCCAGTCCGTCATTGAAAATGCAGCCCAAGGCAAGGGTAACACATGCCGTTGTGGAGCTTGGCTGGCCCATGGCTGGCCCTTCCGACCAGGCAAGCTGCACATGACCGAGCCGGATGATGTTTACCCTGGCACAGACCAGCAGGCGAAACTTTGCCGGCCCGGGTCATCCTAGCGTGCACATTCTTTTCCTGCTAGGTTGTCACCATAGAGTCTTCCGCATGGGGCTATATCGTGGCGTGGCTGCATGCAGGTTCTTCTTTCCCCGGGCGGCTGTTTCTCAGGTACCCAGGGTGTCATTTTGGCTTACAACAAAGCCACTGACTCGCAGGTGGCTGCCTTGCAGCACATTCTGGCAATGGTCAACAACTGCTCGGAGTGCATCATGCCGGGCCATGACGATGAGAGGCGGCTTGCGGTGGCTGGCAGCCCAGGCCGTCTTGCATTGCGCGTTTAGAATCGTAGGCGCCTGCCCCAGGTGATGCCCTCCCGGTCCATTAGTGCCCTCATTGGAGTGAAAGGCCGGCATATGCACCTGGAAGCACTGGGCCTTTAGCAGCTTTGGACGCAGAGGGGTTCAGGTGGAAGCCTTGCAATAATGCCAACAGGGCCAGCGCCCGGCTCTCTTTTTCTCGGATGCAGAAGCTACCATGCAGGCGCCAATGTCAAGGAGCTTCAGCTGAGAACCGGCTGCCATATACACGTGGACGATGTGGCCATAGGCTGAGGGCAAGGGGGTTGCCGTGAGCAAATTGCACATGCAATGCAGGATGCAATGATGAGTCGAGTTGCGTGCCTGCTGCCGCATTGCAGCATCACAAATGCCGGTGGGCTCGAAGAGCGTAAGATACAGGTCAGGTCACAGAGTGAATCAGCCAGCCCTTGGAGCAGATGAGATCTCGAGCCCAGCCTGGTCCAGGGTTTTCCTCTCATCCCGTTCTTCGATTGATCACTGTTTCAGCGTGTGGGGTGGGGTGTCGATGAGCCAAGTGTGGAAGAGTTCTCCAGCCCAATGTGGAGTTTCCCAGTTTTAACAATTATGAGGCGCTCGCGGGGAGTGGATGGGAGACCGGACATGGCTGGCGAGCCCGCTGCGGCTGGCCAGCCCGATGTGGCGAGCGAGACGAGCACGCCCAGCGCGCCAAAGGCAGAAGCCTCCCAGCCAAGGAATGCGCCGCAGCACCCCCCTCCGTTCTTCCCTTTGAAGGAGCACCTCAGCCCAATGCCGAACTTTCAAGCCTTGCATTTTCAACAGGCCATGAAATTGGTCTAAGTCTCCCATTCGGTTCGTGCCCAGCTGGCCACAATCAAAACCTGGGTAAATGAAGTTTTTGTAAGGGAAAGTCCCAACCATAAAATAGCTGCAGCCGCCTCTTACTTCTTTGCATGGTTTTGGGTCAACCATTTCAATACCGGGTTTTGATTGTGGCTCAGCTCAGGTTCCTGGAGTCGGGGGGTGTGTCGGCCCTGCCCCGGCTGCGGGTGGTGGACGTGGGGGCCATGCTGCTGAGCGAGGCGGAGGAGGTGTGGCAGCCCCTGCAGCGGCGGAACCACTGCGAGTCCGTGGTGGGCTTCGAGCCTTGCCAGGAGGAGTGCGACCGCCTGAACGCGGAGATGGGGAACTCTCAGGAGTGGCTGGCTGTGCTGGCTGTGTGCAGAGAGTTTGGTCCAAAGGAGAAGCGAGAATCCTCCCACATTTGGTTTTTTTTAGAAAGGAAGGTTGAAGGAGGATGTTTGGCCCCCGCATTTCTGTTTGTGGTGGGCCCGAATGCCCAAGGCTTGGAAGTGATCGCTCCCTGCTCAGGCGGGAGGGTCTGCCGGCTCCAGCTCCACCACCTTCCAATTCCTCCCCTGGGCGTTGGGTGACGGGTCCCGGGGCCAGTTCCGGCGCTGCTCTGCGGCGATGACCTCTTCCATGCTGGAGCCCAACATCCCGCTGCTGCGGCGCTTTGTGCAGCTGGAGGAGGCCGGACATGGCTTTGCAAAGAGTTGGGCTTCCAGAATGGTCTTGGTCCAAAGCACTCGCAGAATTGTTGTCCTTGCGGTGTCCCTCTAGGCAGCAGATGTGAGCTGTGGTGTGGAGGTCTGAGCTCTGCTGAGGTCACCACAGTGGTGGAGCGCAGCGAGATGGAAACCAAGCGCCTGGACGATCTGCTGGACCAGATCCCGGGGAAATGCGTGGACTACCTGAAGATCGACGTGCAGGCCATGGGCGCCGCCCAAAAAACACGTCCCACTGGCGGGAAAGCGCCAGCAAGGCCGCGGCATTTGAAGTGGAAGCGCGCGAGTTGGCTTCGGGACCCGAGGGGTTAGAGCCCTTTCCGAAAGGCTGCTCTTTGGGTGTTCCTTGGGGTTGCTCAGCTTCCGGATCCCGAGGGCTACGAGCTGGCGGTTTTGAAGGGGGCCGAGAGGGCCCTGCAGGACGCTCTGGTGGTGCACACCGAGGCAAGCCGAGCCACGGAAACTGGTTCGGTGGGCTGGCGGGTTCTCAGGGAAACAATAATAACTCGGCACGTGTCAGGAAACGCCTGGCTGAAAAACGGGAACCACGCAGAGGGATGGACGGCACCGTCGAACCTGAGGGCACGCCTTGAAGTTTGGGTGGGATAGGTGGAGTTTGTGGAGATGTACGAGCGACAACCTCTCTTCGCGGAAGTGGACCAGCTCCTTGGGTGCCTGTGGGGGACCGCTTGAGGGATTTCGAGGGTCTGTATTTGGACCACGGCGTTTGGGTGTCATCAAAGCCAGGGTCGAGGGAGCGATGGATTCCCCCACGCCAGTGGGATGGATTCTGACGAGAGAGAGAGAGAGGGAGGGAGCGAGAGAATGGATTAGGGAGGGTGGCGCGCCCGAAAGCAAGTTAAACATCGGATTCCAATGACTGTCGGCCTTTGAGAGAGCGCAGGGAAATGCCTTGGAGCCCACTCGGCGGGAAGCCGAGGTTCCTGCGCTCCAAGGGCTTCGTGTTCCACCGCTTCAGCTCGGTGCACGGGCGGCCCATGAAGCCGCTGCACCTAGCAGCGAACCCGCTGCAGCCCATCTCGCAGCAGCTCTGGGCGGACGCGGTCTACGTCACTTCGTCTGGGTTTGGACCTTTCATACGACTTGTTGCATGTGGGCGGCTGTTCAAACAACAAGCAGCTTTGGGTTGGACCTTGCACCTTTGATTTTTGGTCGAACATGCTGAACTCGAGGACAATGTCGAGCTTTTTCCCACGAAAGCAAGTGCCAGGTCAGAGACCTCTGGGAGTTGCAGGCGCACTCCCGCGAGCAGCTGTTGAAGCTTGCGGCACGGGCTGAATGGAGGACTTGTTCTTTCTTCCGTGCCTAAAGGTGGTCAGGCGATGGGAAAAGAGCAGCCTTTGTTTCGGGGTATCCTGCTATCCTGGTATCCTGGTCACGCTGGTTTTTGTCTTTATCCTACTCCCGGGCTTAAAGAATGCTAGTTGTTGCTCCTCTAAGGCGTAGTCACATTCTCCGTTTGAGATACAAGTCAGGACCCGGGGTGCTGAATATCCAAGGATTGTCGCTGTCTCCGAGAGAGAGCCACAAGGGGGATGGATCATTCTTCAGGTGCCATAGTTGCCAGACCCTGGATTCAACCTTCAGAGCCCACGTCCGTTGTATAACTCCTGGGTTTTCTCGCGGTTTGATTTTTTTGGCATTAACCCGCTGCTCACCAGCCAAGGCCCTTATCCTGCATGAGATCTATCATTCTTATGACGTGGTCCTTCATGTCCTGCAGAAGCAGCTTGTCCAGATATTAGGTGCTTCCTGGACCATAGCTGGAAGCCTCGTCCGGCCTAGGTACGATGAACCCCTGGGCAAACTTTACCTGGGCCGGATTTTGAGTGCGGCGTGACGTGCAAGCTGCACGCAGCTTAAGAGCAATTTGCAGAGTGCCTTGCTGACGCTTGAGATGTGCTCGCTCGGTGCCCGGTCGGTGCCTGGTGATCGCTGCTTGGTCGGCGCGCTGCCGTCCATGTGAACATCCGAAGCTCGGCGGCTGGACAGCTTGCCAGCATGGTTTTGAAAAGGGAGCAAATGTGTGAGCTGCACAGCGTGTACAGGAAAGCCCGAGCCAATTTGTTCCAGAGTCTTGATGGGCGGGTGACCAATGCAGGCCATGGTCCAGGAGGGGATCGAGTGGCGGGCTCAGGGGCATCGTGGCCGAGCGGTTTCAGCTGCCGGGACCACATGTCGCTTTTCAGCGCTTTCAGTGGGCCGCTTGCCTTGCCCGCACTCGACCGCTTGTACTACCTGACTTTTTCCACATATTTTTCAACGCCTGCGACCTGGACTTGTTTGGTGCCACTGAGGCACACACGCGCAACCCGAAATTCCCATGTTTGCTGAATCCAAGGTCCGAAGGGCAAGGGTGGGCTTAGAATCATCATTTTGGCAGACACTCTGAAAGAGTGCTGCCTTGTCACTGGAAAATGACGGCACATGTTTGAACCGTCAGCAGGGTGAGCAAATGTTCATGCCAATTTGGAGATTTGAAGGGTCTCTTCAATTCTTACCCTAGGCCGTGAATGTCAACGGCTTGCCCCCGGGTCTTGCCCAAGCCATCGCCGATGACCCAATTCCCTGCTGCTGCCTTGGTTTATTGCGACTTGTTGCCATGGCGCACAGGTTCGCACCGTGGAGGTTGTGCAAGAGTCTCACGACCAAGCTCGGCCTCCAAGAGCCGCTTTTATGTGCTGCATGCCGCATGGGCAAACCAAGGTTTGGTTCAGAAAGTGGGCAGAGCGGAGCAATGCCGAGCGGCTTGAGCAAGAGCAGGCCACGTCGGAAAGCGTAAAATTGGACAATTAGCAGCAGAATTGCAGAAGCTTCTTGATGGCTGTAAGGTAAGCATAGCAAACGTTCATCGTGCAGGCTCCTCCGCTCCGCGGTGGACAGGCCCAAAGGAACAGCGATGATGGTAGAAGCCTTGGGTAGCCCTGGCTGGGCCCGGGAAGTATGCCCAGAATGCTTCCTGAGGCATTGGAAGCATGTGGTGCACTTATGCCGATCCTTCATGCTCTCCTGCGTGTTTGGATGCGAGAGGATGGGCATGGCCGCCATGATGGGAAGCATGTCCTGTGCCCAGCTTGCTAGAGTAGTTTGATCGGCATTCATGTGGCTGGTAGCTAAGGATGGGCGGAATGGGGGTGATGAGTGGAATGGGCGGTATGGGTGGCTGTGGTCCCTGTCGCCCCTGTAGTCCCTGTGGTCCCTGTGGCATGGGTGGCTGTAGCATGGGTGCGCCTTGCGGTGGCTGCGGTAGCTGTGGCGGTTGTGGCTGTGGAGGCGGCGGCTGCGGCTGTGCTGGCTGTGGTTGCGGCAGCTGCGGTTGTGGCGGTTGTGGCGGCGGTTGCGGCAACTGTGGCGGCTGTAGTTGTGGCGGCTGCAGTGGTAACAGCTGCAGTTGTGGAGGTTGCTGCGGCGGCTGCGGCATGGGCGGCATGGGCAACGACATGGGCGCCTGTGGGCGCATGGGCAGCATGGGCGGGGCAGACCTTGTGATGCATGTCATGGAGGACATGCCCGCCTTCGTAATTCAAGACCCCCGTGGGTTTCAGCTGCGAAGCGCTGTTCCAGCTGGCCGGGCTCTCAATCCTCGGCATTAGTCATGTCAACCTTGGCACTGGGCTATGGCGAGACTTTTCGCCTGTGCGATTTATGCGGCACTTGTAACCAGAGCGGCTCATTGACAATTTGTTGCGCTCCGGTGATTTGAACGGGGCTGATCTGGCTTCGTTACTTGAGCAACACGCTGCCTCCAAGAGATATCCAACAGCCATCTCGTGTGTTTTTTAGTTGGTTCCATCTCGCTTAAGTTCTGCCTGAACATTTGGACTGTCAGCTGAGAAGCTGCCCGATCGAGGAATGGCAGAGGCTTTGCAGCCCAAGGCGCGCCCGGGTTCACCAGAAGTTGGTTGATTACTCAATTACTCTAGGGATTCTGCCTGGGGAGGGTGCTGGAACCTTGCTGGAGGCTGCACAGGTCATGGGGTCTACGAATACGAAGATCAGCTTCAGTGACTTCAACTCCGCCTCGCGGGTCATGAGTGTGGAGGCACGCATGGGGTGCACGTGTTGGTACTGCCGGATTCTTGCTCCGCCATGGTCAGGGTCCTCTCTTCAACATTTGCGCTGGCTTCATGCTAATGATGCTGGCTACTAAGTGGCTGCTTTGCACGCATGGCATGGATGTGAGCGAGGGTGCTTGATGCGTATGAGGCGACGCTATTTGGAGATAGAGAGGGATGGCTTTTGAGCAATTGCTCACAAGTAGCTAGGCGAGGCACGCGGATGCGTCGACCAATGGCTCCCGGAGGAGCTCATGGAATCAAAAGATCTTTGGTCTCCATGGGGCTGACCCTCATGGTGCGGCTTCTCCGTCTAGTTTCACCCCGTCCCCCCCCATTATCAGCCAGAGAGCAGGGCCCCAGAGCCGGCAGATCCTGCGTCACGCAAAAGCGGACGTGCCATCAGCCTCTTCAGTTGCGGCCCCTCCTGCATCAAGGTTGGTTTTCATTTTTAAAGTCTCATTGGACAGGCAGAAGTGGCCAAACTGCCCGTCCGTCGCGTTCTTCAACTCCAGGGCATTCTTGGTTGTGCGATAAGCCCGCAGCATGTGGCATTCCTGCCATGCTGCATGTGGCTGGTAGAGGAGGAGAGCTTGCCATTGTCTATGGCTTGTTTGTTCGCTTGCGTGTTAGTTTGCCTGACTGTTTGTCTGTCTCTTGTCTGTCTCTTGTCTGTCTCTTGTCTGTCTCTGTCTGCCTCTGTCTGTCTCTGTTTCTCTGTCTGTCTCTTTTACTCTGCCTGCTTGCCTGTGTGTCTTTCCGTGTGTCTGGCTGCGTGTCTGTCTCTGTTTGTCTCCATCTGTGCCTGCGTGTCTGTCTCTGTCTGTCTGTGTCTGTCTGTCTTTGTCTGTCTGTCTTTGTCTGTCTGTCTGTGTCTGTCTGTGTCTCTGTCTGTGTCTGTGTCTGTCCGTATCTGTCTGTGTGTCTGTCTCTGTGTCCGTCTCTGTCTGTGTGCGTGTCTGTGTGTCTATCTCCGTGTCCGTCTCTGTCTGTGTGCGTGTCTGTGTGTGTCTGTCTCTGTCTGTCGCTGCCTGTTTGTGTGTACGTCTGTCTGCGTGGCTGTCTGCGTGTCTGTTTGCGTGTCTGTCTGTGTGTCTGTCTGTGTGTCTGTCTGTGCTGCTTGGCTGTCTGTCTCTCTCTGTCTTATCCGTCGCTTGTGTGTTTGGTGTGTGAGGACCGCAGTTCATGTTGCTTACTCACGCAGTCAGCGCAGATTCTTTGAGCAAGTCGCCCAAAAGGCAGTCCCGCGTTTGGAGACGTGATATGTTCTGAGCAGTCCACTTTTTCGGCGCTTGTGTTTGAAGAGAGCAAGGAGCGGCAGACAGCTTGCAGCCTTGCCAGGGTCTCGACTGCCACATCCTGAGTCTCGTCTTACTTGCATGGTGCCCTAAGGGGGTCGTTGGGGCGGATGCATGCACCCGGCCGCATGTGCGGCACCGAGTGCAGGGTTGGGCAGACTCCCAGCACAGGCTTTGAGAGCCCGGCGTGCTTCTAGGCCCATGCTGCCGCGTGGAGCTGTCAGGCATGGCGGGCTTCCTTGATGTTCGTCGGCTAATTTGCGCAGTAGTGGCTTGCGCTGCAAGCCCCGAGTGCGGCTGACAAGTCGGTCGTCACTGATCAGACTCACGACAATCTTTTGAGTATTCATCATACGGATTCCTTGGCTGTTCCGAGTAGGGCTTGGCCAGACAACTTGAACAAAGTGGGCCAGTGGCTTCTGGAACACGCTGGCGGCTTGATGCTCAGGCGCACGCCGGGCGGCGATGCCAGGCCTGGGATGGGCACGACGCTCGCAGCGCGTGGCGAGCGTCCGGAGCGTCCGCAGTGGCAGGCGCGGCGAGCCGAGCGGCGAGCCGAGCGGCTTGGAGGCGGTCGGCGCGCTTCGCCGGGTGCTCAAAGCCCAAGGCACCCGCAGCCGGGTCCCCAAGGCACCCAGCTGCGGGTCCCATGGTGTGCCGCAAGCCAGTTTCTTCTTCTAGCTCCGGCCGAGCCGTGCGCTGAATGGCCCGGAGTCAACCGGCCAGATGAGGTTGCACGGCGCCACATGTGCAGCACCAGCGCGGCATGTTGAATGGAAGGAGGGATGCTTAGCGTACTCCCCTTTCCTTTGACTGGGGGGCCTCGTTTCTTGGGAAGATCGCAGCAGCGGAGCTCCATCATGGAAGCAGGTTGGTTGCACCAAGAGCCGCATTTTTTGTTTGCTAGCATCAGTTGCTTCCAGGATCATGCTGCGCCAGCGTTTGCAGCCTCGCAGGCACGAGGAAAGCTTCTCACCTTGGCAGGGGCATTCCTGTCTGCAGGTCGATGGGCGCCGGCAGCTGGAGCACAGGATCAACCTCGCCTGTGCCAGAACCTCGCTAAAGTCACCTGAGGGTGTTCAAAAAAAGGACGCGCGGTTTGGGCCTTGTCAACTAGGAACAAACATTTCTCTTTTAGCAAGTCTCACTGGCTTTGGAGGGGGGAATCATACGTGGAGGGGAGCATTGGGGAAAAGAAAGCGTGCTGGTTGTCACGCAAGCTAGCTAGCTGGAGTCTCTGTTGCTGCACCCCAAGCCCGGGAATCACCTGGATATTCTCCTGGCATTTGATGTGGATCCTCTAAACACGGATCCCTTCGAGCATACCTTCCTGGGGGTTCCATGGCTCACTTTCCCGGCAAAGAATAGGCCCTGCTGCGCAGCGGCCAGCGGGCTCGAGCCAAAGAGGCGCCGGGGTTTACGTAGCTCAGTCCGCCGGGGCGAATGGACATGAAGGTGCCCTTCTCTGTTGGTTTTCGTTTTTTTGGTCTTCCCCACCCCCCCCCCCCCCGGCTGCCTCAAAAAGGGGTTCGAAATCTCGCCTATGTCGAAAGAACCCCCCCCCTCCCCTCCCAATGGACTGGCAAGAGAGCCAGGTCTCAGAGGCAGCGCTGCAGGAGCTGCAGCTTCAGCAGCACTCGGGAGGCGCCATGGGCTTGGGGAGAGGGCGTTGGACCCTTCGAGGCCATGAAAAAGGGGGAGCATGACCAGAATGGGGATAAGGCCCATTGCAAAACCGGAGCACCTGCAAGAGGAGCACCTGCAAGAGGAGTATGCGACGCAAGTGGCAGTGAATGTTTTGGACGCGGTTCTGAACTTTTGCGAGTGAGAGAGCATTTACGCTGGCTTGTTGGATCTTAAATGTGCCGCCGCCATTGCAGGCTTTATCTTTCAGCAATCGGTTTATTTCATTGCCGGAAGTACCGTTGCGTCATTCGGGAGCACAAAGGCAGGCATCCATCACTTCCAGGTCACCCCCTCAGGGCTCCGCACGGTTGCGCAAAATGATTTGAAGTTGCGGAGAGCCACTACAGAGATTCGTTTTCCCAAATGGGGGAGAAGCTGTCTACGGCCAGAAGACTGGCTCTTGACATCACTGCTTCGAGCAGCTTTGAGTGAGGGGTTGGCCCAATGGAATGAGGTGAGCTCACATCCTTGGAGTACGCACTCCGCGCCTTGGACGGGATGTGGCCACGCGGGTTGCTGCCGTGTGCTGTGCGCTTGGTCCACAGGGCCTTTCTTCGGTGTGCGGGGAGCCTCTCTTTGGGTCCTGTTTTGTAGGGAAGGCCTGGGTTTCGTCACAGTTAGCATAATGCGTGAGCCTATGGCCGAGGTGTCAATCTGTCCTGCGCGTCTGCTTGGGGGCCCAGGGGGCTGAGGCTTGGTTCGAGCCGAGCTGCACGTACGGCGATCGAGCGGCAGACATCAATCAGAGCATGGACAGCAATTTCGCAACTGATAGGTGCAAGTGCCAACCTGACACGGGTTCAGGCGCAAGTGCAACTGACGTTGGAAGGGCTTGACAGATCTTGAGACCCAGCCACGAGACCCAACCACACAGAAGGCAGCCCTTTTCCCCTCCCGAGTCACAGCTCTTGAGGACCCTGCGGCCAGGAAGATGCACCTGCTGGAGGCTTGGCAGTCGCAGGTGTGTGAGCCCGCTGAACCTATGCCGCCGTTAGTTTCAAACCGGTGGATCTGGTCAGCGAAGGCCTACATTTTGAGAATCAACGGTTGTTCCGTATATTGCGCAAACAAAGCTGGGAGAGAGCGAGGCTGATGCAGAGCTTTTTACGGCTCAAACGGCTTTGGCATGCGGTCGCTTTCTTTGAGGGGCCGCCGGTTTCCGCGCAGGCATCCAGATTGGAGCCCTGGCGAGTTGAGGCGAGGGCGGGGGCCGGCACATGGGATCGTGTTGGAACTAGAAACTTCTCAATCCTTGATTCCCCACGGATGTCCACTTACAGCCTTTCCAGGAAAGAGGGACTCCGATTCCTTCTGGAGGGCGACCTCCCCTGATCTGCTCAATGGTTGGTTGTTTGGCAGAGGCTTTCCTTGCCTTGAGCAAATGCCTTGTTGGCACTCCTATCAAGGTAAACCGGGGGACGTCTCCAGCTTCTCATGTTGGGCTTGGCTTCGGTTCATCCCAGCCCTGTCACAAGAGCACGCCCCGCAAAGATGCGTGCGCTCTTCACGGGGCAGTCGAAAATCCATGACCACCTGTGTGTGACTCATGCCCCCCGGCTCGCAGCGTGGGAGGCAAAGTTCCACCTCGCGGCCGTGTTGGAAGAGGCGGGCTTGCAGAAGAGCATTGGATTTTGGGCGTGCAAAAGCCAAGTACCTTTTCAACTCGCTTAAGCTGAAATGTTAGAAAAGCTCATTTTGCACAGCTTGACACATTCCAGAAAGACTTTGGTCTCTTTGTCTCATTCCAGGAGGGAGACCTGGATGCTGCCCTTCAGGCCCTGCATCAGGCCAGATTGATAGGTTGGTGCCGGCCACTGGCGCGTGTTGGGCATGTGCTGATTATATCTGGCGGGGATGGACAATTTTCTCTGATTACATGATGGAAGCATGACGGCTCTTGTCAGCTCTGATACTTCCTCCCCGGAGATGTGAGCGGAGAAGGGAGGGGGGACGCAAAATAAATAGGGGGAGAGGGACGTGTTGAACACGGGACGCGAGAAAAAGAGCAACGAGCAGGTATACTGATTATATTCAAAATTGCTGTTAGACGGTGCCACTGGCTGTGTGCGGCCCTGACGCCCAAGCTTTCTTCGCAGTTGAAAGCTGAAGTGTGAGCCACAAAAAAACCAAGTAGATTAGCAATAGTTAGGAAGGGATAATCCCCTTGTTATTTCAGTACATGTTTCTGGGTAGACTATTTTGATACCGGGTTTTGGTTGTGACTCGAGTGACGGCGCCGCCCCAGCTTCCAAGCGACCGCGTCAGTCGTTTCCCCGCACCAGGCCCTGAAGCTGGCGCCGGAGGATTTGGGCAGCCTGGCGCTGGCTTGCCGGTGCCTCGAGCGCCTGGACCGCCACGCGGAGGCGCGAACGCAGCGACAATCAACTCACATGGCCCTGAATCAAAACCAATGGTATCATTTTGGGGTAGGTGCACCACCCATTTTAGTCTATTTTAGTGGGGATTGGATGTTCACCCGGGATTTTGACCCATGGCCAAATAGGATCAAGCTTTACAGCCCTTTTTGCTTCGCATTCTCTTGGCAATGTGCAGCTTTGATGTGTGCGGGCAGGCGCGCGGGCGCCTGCCTGCGTGTGCACGCCAGTACGGGTGCGTGTGCGTGTGCGGCGTGTGCGTGTGCGTGTGTGTGCTTTTTTGTTTTTGGTGTGTTTCTGATTGCTTTTCCTTTTTGGAAGAATATGACCCATGCCATTGGTGAAAACAAAGGCTGCTGACACTGGGTGTGCGCTGCCGACATGCTTTGGCCCTGTCAGCTGCCCGGCCTGCAGGCGCTTGCAGCGGCGGAGCAACTTTGCCGCGTGGATCCGGCGTCCACGCGCCTGGGATGGGTTGGATGCATTGCGGGCGGAGGTTTCGGTTGGTCAGTTGGTGGATTGGTCAGGCTAGGTTGGCTGGCTGGTGGTTGGAAGGCAGCTAAAGCTAACAGGATGTCCGCAAGGATTTGGTAGTAGGTTAGGTTTGATTCGGATAGGTTGGGTTGGGTTAGGTAGGTAGTGGAGGGGTGGGCCTGTACTCGGTGGTTCGGTGGTTTTGCGGTTTTGTGGCTTTAGTTGGCTTTAGTTGGCTTTAGTTGGCTTTAGTTGGCTGGCGGACAGTTGGGCTGTCTTTGGGCTGTCTTTAGTTGGCTGGGGCTTGCTATACTCATGAAATCGCTTGGTCAAGTTGTGGGTTCATTGAGGGCTGAAAGCCTGGCCTGAATCACCCGAATTTGCCTAAAAACCAACCCGCCCGATCTCGCCCGGCGACAACCATCCACGACATGAGTGGAATAACTGCAACTCATTTGAGAGAATTTTCCCACGCCGCGGCCTGTTGTCGAACGTGTCTTTCGCCTTGTGGATCCTAGGTTCCTGGCGCTCCGGGAGGTTTTCCGATGCCAGCCTGAGGATGCCCTGAGCCCAGCTGCGCTGCTTTTCCATCTTGGGCCTTTTTCTGCCTGCAGATTCCTTGCTTCAGCTTGCCTTCCCCTGGGATCCTGGGGTTTGTTGAGGTCTTTGTGGTGACATTCCCGCGCTGCGGCACGACCTGGATGGCCGGAGGCCAAGGAGGACGCCTGCGACTTCTCCTGATCTCGGCTTCGAGATCTGGCCAGTTGGGTTGACATGGGTAGAGGTCTCTAGGACACTGTTTTTGGCGGTTCAAAAAGGAAACCCAAGAAAAGCCGACCTTTCAAGGAGCCCAAGTGTTGGCTCACTTTGGTCAGGTTCAGATCGCTGTGAGTTGCTTATTTGACCCTCATGCCAACTACGTCTGGGCCCCAGCTGGCAGTTCTTCTTCAGAGCTTGGCGTGGATTCAGATGCCCCTGAAACCGCGTTGTTTGGCTGAAGCTTTGCAGTGGTCGGAGCAAAGCTGGCAATTCCCAAAGTTGGTTCGCCACACTTTTCCAGTCAGCGAGCTTTGGGCATATCTTAGTCAGCTTTTCCCACTTGCATTCAGCACTTCCGTTTTGCCCCCGGCGCCTGGCGGGCGCTTCTTTAGCCATCGCCCGATGCCATGTCCTTGGCGCATGACGCGGTGGCGCTGGCCATCGCCGGGTTTCTGCCGGCGGGGCTCTTCCGGCTGCAGGTGCTGTGCCGCTGCGTGCGCCGGCGCCTGCAGAGCGCGGACGTGTGGCTCCTGGCCTTCCGCTGCATGAAGCTCTCCTCCTGCGATCTCAGCGGGAGCGGCGGCATGCAGAGCCTGGCGGGGAGAGGAAAACAGAAGAGGGGAGAGCTTGGACAAGTTGGGTTTTTGTTTCGGTCTTCTCTGGGCTTCAGTGTGGGGTGTGTCCAAAACTGGGGAGTCTCGTCCATGTCATTTCTGTCGGGTTTTTCGAACCCACCCAAGTCCTTTCACGTTGGGGCGCGGCCTTACCATTGTCTAGCCAGGTGGCCAAGATGCCAGCGGAGCTGGAGCAGATGGAGCTGCGGTTCCGGTGGCTCGGCTCTGGAGATTTTGCTGTGCAGCCCAGGCTCCAAATTTGTTGATTTCCATTTGCCATTTTCTTTCGAGACCACCTGGAACGAGTAACTTTTGACTGGCCTCGAATGCAAGTGAACTGGTACCATTTGATTGACATGGAGCCCAGATTTGAAGAGATATTCTTCTGGACGTGATGACTTGTTGTGTTCCACCCTAGTCAGGAAACCCTGCTCGGGGTTGTGGCCTGCAAGAGTGGACAGGGCCCAGTCTCGGGGGATCCAACTTGGATTTGCATGGTGTTGTTGGGAAACATTTTACATTTTTGCTTATCGTGGTTTAGTGGTTGAAATCCCCTCTTAACTGCTATTTGTTGTTTTTTGCTCCCCTTCCAACGTCAACCACGTTTGGCCGCGACCTACCCGCGACCCGCGCCCGAACCGCGAGGTGGTGCTCCGTGGGCAGCGAGGGCGCGGCGGTGCTGGCGCGGCAGCTGCCCAAAGGCCTGCGGCGCCTGCAGCTGGCCTTTCGCGGCTGCGGGGTGGGGGAGGCCGGGGCCAAGGCGCTGGCCAGGAGACGACAGGGGGGGACCTGGGGGCCGGCTGTGAAGATATGGCCAGCCATAACCTATGGCGATCCCATTTTGGGGTGGAACATCCATTTGCCACCTGTTTTGATGTCCAGGGGTACAGGGTTTTGACGCCATATGACCCCCTCCATGACCCCCCCCCTTCTCCCCCCCAAAAAAAGTCAAGAAGAAGCAAAAGAGCAAGAAGAAGCCAAGTCAAAACCACTCGGGGCTTTAGTGACCTTGACTGTTTGACATTGTTTTTGGAACCCATGGCCATTCGGGGCTTTGGTGATCTTTGGCGATCTTTGGCGACTGATTTTGCATATTTCACGTATTGAGCCTGTAAAGCAAGAATTACTACCTAAACATCCAATATTGCTCGCTTTCAAAGGGCATCCATTTTCGTTTGGCGGAGGTCTGGGCTTGCATACCCCCTGCAATTTGAAGACATGCGTGCGGAAGGGTTATAGATTTTGATTGGCCAACTCTCAACTTTGAACAGCCCAGTTCTGTTTCGGTTTTGCAAAGGAGGCGCGCGTTGAAGTAACTTCCAAGAGGCGTTGTTTCGGAACCACCAAACAAATATTTTTCTGGGCACTTGATGAAACAACAACTTGGGGCCGACTCTTTAGTTTCTGCACTTGACTTGTTTCGCATCCCCGAAGAAATCAATTGGATGCCCCAATAAGTTGGAGTCTCCCCAAACGGACGAAAGTTTCGGCCTGAAACATGTTTGTCTCCAAATGAGACGTGGACCTGTGGGAGGGTGAATGCAGTTTGCGCAGCCAACCTGCACCTCAAAATGTCACGGACAAATCTCAGGGCTTGTCTTTTTTTCACGGCACCGCGTTCGAAAAGGGAAAAAGCTTGAAGGAAAATCGACATCCATTTTGACATTTGCCAGGTTTGGTGCTTTGAGCCAACCCGTCACAAAAAACGAGCATCTCAACCAGCTAGTCCTTTTACGACTCCCTTACCGGAGACTTTCCCGAAAAAGGTGGCGCAAGGACAACGGATGCCACAAATTGGCCCCTTCAGAATGGGTTTCCCTTCGGTTTGTCTTCGAGGCCGCTCCGCCAGAGGCCACTTGTTTGGCAACGTATTCTTCAGAATATTGAGTCCAATTGTTTGGCAAGCTGCAAAGGAGCTATTAATTGAGTCTGTCACCACAGTTGAGAGGATTTGAACCAACACCATCCAACAGGCGCACCTCAAGGTAGCAACTTTGCACCTTCACAAGCCACCTACATAGCTAATACGCCTAGCCCGCACAAAAAGGCAATCATCTTGGACCATTGGGTGACCTTGGTGAAAGAGGGAAACATGAAAACGGCGGTGGCCCGGAAATCACCGGAGTGAAGACCCCTGGAGGAGCCTGCCGGGGTCCCTGGAAATGTTGCACCTCAGTCTGCGGGGCTGCCCGGTCGGCACGGAGGGGGTCAGAAGCCTGACGCAGCACTTGCCGCAGGAGTTGGGCTTTGCTGTTTCCAAATGAAACATATCGCTATCTATGTATATTTCTATATATATATATATATATATGTGTATATGTGTGTGTGTATGTATATGTCTGCAAAGGCCATTAACTAACTAAGTAAGTGAAACAAAAAACACTCATAGTAGTAATTTAACCCAATGGTTTGTACGCCACCGTTTTTGGGCCATTCTGGTTGCCCTCACCCCCTCACCTACGAGATGTTGCGCGAGGAGTTGAGGGACTTGGCACTGGACTTCCGCGACTGCCGCCTGCCTACGGCAGGGGTCCAAGCCCTGGCCGAGCATTTGCCCGAGCAGCTCTGGAGATTGAGGCTGCAGCTGGCGGGCTGCGATCTGGCGTCCAAGGCCGCCTGCGTGGCTGGCCCAATAGATCACAGTGTCTTTGTCCCCCTCGCAAATTCAACAGCGCCACCGCGGATGGCGTTTTTAGGATACTTGAGCATGTTGCGTTCCCACCTTCAAAGTGTAACAGCCAGCCCTTTTCATTTTTTGCCAGGGCCATCCCAGCGCTTTACTCCGAGCTTCACCCAGGTAGTCATGGAGAGTCTGCCGGGGTCCTTGGAGTCGCTGCACCTGGGCTTCGAGAGCTGCCCCCTGGGCGCTGTCGGCGCGCAGGCGCTGGCGCAGGCCATGCCCCAGAACCTCAGCGCCCTGCACCTGGCGCTGGACTGGTGCAACGTGCAGGACGCGCGCGGCTCCGGGAGAAAACGGGCGCTCTGGGCTTGCCGTTTTGAGAGGGAAGACACCGATTTTTGTTCCCCCCCCAATTTCATGACACCCCCCTCTCCCCCCCCAATTGGCGTAAAATAAGCAGAGCTCTGCCCCCCCCCCCCGTGACAGGCAACTCAAAAGAGTTTGTTGAAACAATGTTGGTTTCAACATGTCTATGGGAGTTGGGACTGACAATTCTGAAACGGACCCAACATGGGTTCACAGAAAGAGGGCTTGAGTTTCTGGAGGACTAGGCCGAGATCAGGAAGCAGGAATTGGGGGTTTTGCAAGGGCAGGGTTGGCCCAAACTCCAGAGCGTGCCCCAAACGTCAACGGAAGCGCCTGGAGTTATGGTGTTCCAACAGCCGCCAACTCCCCAAAGAGGCCCAAACAGGCGAGACATCCAGAGGCCCAACCTAGGCACCTTCGGCCCAACCCGTTTTCGGGTTCAGGATGGGGGCGTGGCCGCGGTGGCGGCCCAGCTGCCGCGGGGCCTGCGGCAGCTGTGGCTGGGCCTGGGGGGCTGCGCCGTAGGCCGCGACGGCGCGCGGCACCTGGCGCGGCACCTGGCGGAGCTCGGGGCGCTGGAGCGGCTCCACCTGGACTGCTCCCGGTGCCGCATCGGGGCGGCGGGGGCCCAGCGCCTTTGCACAGAGAGGGCGGAGAGGGGAGGGTGTGGGGGGGGTGGTTTGGTGTTCGGCCATGCTCCATGATGGTTTTCGCCCCTCTTCGTGACGGATCTGTTTGTTTGAGGAGGTGTTCCTGTCCTTGCAACTGTTTCTAGGAGAGAAGCAACAAGGTTCCGTGGTTGCAGTCGGGCTTGTAAGGAGCCTCTTGCTGGGCCTGCCGGCCCCCGGCTCGGGCCAGCTGCAGAGCCTCTTCTTGGGCTTCCGCAGCTGCGGCATCGACGTGGAGGCGCGCCAGGGCCTGAGAGATCTGCTGCCGGAGTCCGTGGAGGCTGCCATGGTCTTCTGAGAGCCCAGCCTCTCCGTGCGCGAGAGCTTCGGGCTGGCATCCCTTTGGAAGCGAACTCGGTGGGGATGGTCCTTGGCATAGCGAAAGGGCTGTTTTCGAACCGCCAGTCTCACCCTCCCTTAGGCCCTTGGGTCACGGCTCGAACGTTTGGCGACCAGGGGGCACATGGAAAATGCGAAATGAGCGCTGCGGCACTCAGACTTGGCATGCATGGCCATTGGCCGGGAGCGGAGGAAGAGCATGCCACCTTCCTTGAGGGCAGTGCCTCGGTTGCAGTTCGCCTCAGTTTGCCCCCCAAAAAAGAACAAGCAGCCACCCAGTGCAGGTATCGCCTCATCTGCCTCTTACGTCTGGCCGCCTGTTTGCGTCGCCTTTTGAGCTGCAAGGTTCTCTTGGCGAATGTTTACTTTAATTACTGGCCAGTGTTCAGCTGCAGTGGAAAGAACGATGCAGATCAAGCTAGCAGAGTTGAGTCAAGGAGTCTGCACTGAGGAGAGCACCGTGCAATTTGGATTGGGCTTCAAGGGATCAATGCCTTAGTTTGAGTAAGCTTGGCTGCTATTTTGGGCTTGAGTTAGTTATAGGTTTGCCTGAGCGGATTTTTATTTTGTTGTCGCACAACCGGTTGCGGCGAGCAGCGCCGGATATCCACGCGAACCAGCCTACCAGGTCCGGCGACTGGAGACTCTGCCGCGCCCGCGGGTGCTCAAAACCCACGTCCCTGCCGAGATGCCCGCCCGGACTCACAAGAGGTACGAGGGGCAGAATTTCCGTGGCAGGTACCCGGGCCTCGGTGGTGAGGGAGGTTTGCAAGATCATGGGAAGGCCTGGCGCGTGCTGCAGAAAGGACAGCTGTTGCCTTGGCCCGAGGTCCTCTATGTGGTGCGAAACCCGAAGGAACGAGTGAGCTTTGCCTTGGGGTCCTGGAATCCGTCGCTGGCAGGACGCCCTGGTCTCGCTCCGGCGCGCCAGAAGATGGGGGGGGGCGAAGGGGCGAAGGGGCGACTCTTCGTCGGCTGCCAGGCACCACCATGCCAACAACAAGGCCATCGGCTGGGAGGGCAGCGTGGGCCTGAGCTTCGGTCGGGTCCGGTTCGAGAACTACGCGCCCTGGAGGCTGGGATGAGTGGGTGCGGCAGTGGCTGGCCGGCGAGAGGCCGCCGATTGGGATGTTGCATTGGGGCGCTCAGATCTTCTTGGGATTTGGTTTGGTTCAAAGAACCAGCACCAGCCATGCCTGCAAATTCGGCAATGACTGCTTTATCACCACAAGATCACTTGGAAGGATGCATAAACCCAAGCCGCTTGCCCTGTAATGACGGTAGGTAGCAAACTTGGCGTACTAAGTGGCGATTTCTGCTCCCCTCCCCCACTATCCCAAACGACAGCGCTTTCCACGATGCCTGTTGCAGACTGTTTAGGGGCACAGGTCTGCAGAGTATGGCGGCTCATACTTTGAGCATGTCAAGGGCTGGCCCGACCCTCGATTGCCTGATGTCCCAAGCCGCAAGTAAAGGGAGGAGGTGTGACTAGATTGTCCAAATCTGTTTAAACCATTGAAACATCAGCCCATGTTCTGCCGTTTGCGGTCCGTTGCTTTGCTTTGCTTGGGTCCAACGGTCAGCTTCGCTTCAATGGGAGGGTTCCCAGGTGGGTGGCTTTCTCGGATTGTTTGTCTGGCGGAAGCTCAGCGCGAAGTGGGCGGCTGAGGTGGCAACTCGCCAAGCAGCACCCGGACCGCGTGCGCCGGGGACCCCTGGCGGGACTTGTTGGGGGGGGGGGGGGGGGCGGGGCAAGGCAAGCCACCAGCACCACGGATGGGTTTTGCCTGCCAGTGTTGAAGTGCCTTTGTTTCTTTGGTTTTTTGTTTGATTCGAGGCATCTTCTACTTTGAGGAGATGAAGGCCATCTGACTTCAGCCTCACAGCCTCACATAGATAGAGCCAAATGCAACCAACCACCTAAAAGGGTCCTAGTTTTGCTTGACACTGCCAAATGAAACTATCCTCCCTTCTCATGTGGTAGAGGATGGAAATGTGGGGACCAACGGCCAGGCTGACCTCATGGGGCAGGTGGCGGCTGTGAGCTCCTTCCTGGGGCGGCCGCACTTGCCGCTCGCAGAGGCGGATGGGTCGACTGGTCCGTGGGGTGTTGGATGGCTCACCATGGAGAACGCCCAGCAGACAACAACACCATTCTCAGTTTTCTACATCTGTTTGGACTCAGGTTTTGGAAGCGTCAGCGTGTGTTACACGCATGGCGGCTTCCGAGATCCCAATAATGGGAGGAGGACGGGGGGATGGGGGCTTGGGAATTCCTGAGCTGCGGAATGCAAAACTCGCTTCATCCTCATCTAAATTCTGAAAGTAATACCATAAGGCGAAGGAACCAACATGACCCTCATTGTCCGACACGGCATGTGTGCATAGTTCAAGCAAGAGTTGTGGCAAGAAGTGCCCTGGTGCATCTTGCAGCACGGTCACAAGACCAAGATATTGTAAATCTTGATGTTGACCGTGCGGTGTCTTCGTGTGCCGTCTTAGAATTTCTTGGCGCGCGACCAGAGCATCCAGCATCAAGGCGGAGAGTGTAGAGATCCCATGAACTCCTGACCTCCGTGCCGTAGAGTTGGCAGGTGTGTGCAGCGTGCTCTTTTGACTCCATGCGCGGCAGGCATGGCAAACCGCATCCCAGAACCCCAGCAAGAGACGGGTGGACATGAACCTATTTGCCCAAAAGCCAGCAAGAGTGCCCCATACAGATATCAACACGGAAGGGTAACTGTCGCTGTGGGCATCAAGTTCGGGAGGTTCCTGTTCAAAGCGGGGGGGGGGGGGCGTCTCTTAGCTTCATGATGCAAGGCATGAAGTGGCCGAAGACATTCGAAGCACGATGCTCAGCCAGGGTGACTTGCTGCTTGCCTTGTTTGTCACTCGCCGTGCGGCAATGCAAGATGCTTGCTGCCATGCTCGGCTCAGTGGCTGCACAGCCCCTTTCAGTCCGGCCAGGTAGGCCCCCGCCTAAGGGCGTCTTCGCAGTTTGCCTTTTGTCAGAGCCATTCGACGCGCCCTCCGCCTTGTCGCGGTTGCGCGGGGCAAAGAGCCGTAGAATAGCTCGCCATGTCCATGCTCCAGTTCCGCGTGGACTGCAAGAAGACGAAGCCGGGGCAGGCGGTCTTCATCGTTGGCTCAGCACCTGAGCTGGGCGCATGGAATCCGGCAGAAGGCGGGCAAGGGGGAGGCTTTGCGAAGCTCACGGGGTTCGGTTGCCTCGGGGCATAAGCCTTATGTGTTGCGGTCACCGCCCAAGAAGTCTCCAACTTCGGGCCACGTGTGCATGCTTCGTTGCATGGGTATTCTTCCAAACGCGAGCAACTCAATTGGAAGGACACTGTGCTTGGACACCAGTTGTAAACTCAAGAGGGTGCTGAGTTTTCTGTCCGCGGGCATGACAAATGCAATGAGTATTGCGATCTTGCGCATCATTTCTACCATTAGGTTGCGAACTAGCGTTTTTTCCCTTTTCGATGGCTGACTTTGTCGCTGGCGTCTTAGCTATCCTTCCTGCCCCAGCTTGCAGGTGTTCCTTGCATGACGACTGCCCAGAGCTTTCCGAAATGGACCTCGGAGGATGTGCCGGTCCGGGGTTCCGGGGAGATCGAGTTCAAGCTGGTCATGGCCAACGAGAACGGTCAGGACGCCCACTGGGAGGGTGGGAACAACCGCAAGCTGAAGCTCCCTGAGGGCCATCACATGGTCATCGTCCGCAGCACCTTTGAAAAGCCGGACACCAAGATGGAGGCGAAGAAGCTGACGAACTACCAAGAAGCCCCGCCCCCGGCCAAGTCGAGTTTTGAGGAAGAAGCGCCCTTGATAACCGCCGAGCGGACCCATTCCTGGAGGCGGCAAAACACCTCCAGGCACTTGATCCAGAACGAGGATGGGTCCATGAAGCATTGCCAAACTTAGCTCGCCTTTCCGCTGGCCATATGTTTCTTCTTTTTTTTGATTTGGGTGTGTGTGTGTGTGTGTGTGTCCATCATACTCAGCCATTCACCTGCAAAGTCGCTGTTCTCAATCTTATATTTCGGAGGGGCCGAAGTCTGGCGAGTAAGGAACATCCAGATGACCCGCACACCTAGCCTGATGCTCATCGATGCGGATGCGTTCTTCGCGGAGGCGCAGGCGGAGGAGCAGCGATACCTGTATTTAGGGCTACGCAGGTTTTAGTCTTTGGTTCCATTTGCCAGGGTTCCATTTTGGTACCGGTTTTTGGGCCGCAGCCATTTGGGTTTGGCTTTCTGTGAGGGTACTCTTTTTTGGATGGTTTCAACGGGGAACCAGAAGGGCACCGACGTTTTGCGGTTTTTTTCTTTTTCCCGGGGGGGGGGGGGGGGGATGGTCCCTATTTGAGACAACCCCATTTAATTGTGTTGAACTTTAGCTGGGTTCAAACTCAATCCGCAAGATCCTACCAGATGCCAATGGTTTCTCTTGCTGGTAGTGGTGTCCCACCATGGACTATGGATATTATGATTTGGGATTGGGACTCGGGATGCCCGTGTGTTTCAAACCACCACCCCTTCTTGTTGGGTGGCTAGAACCCAACAAGTAATCTCTCCCTGATTCGAAGGAGCAGCATGTGCTGGAGATGGAGCGGGACCGCCTGAACGTGATGCAGCGCCGCATGCAGAGCAAGGCCCTCCTGGAGGAGCCGACTGTCCGATTGCCCGCCCTGGGAACCCACGGAGAGAAAATCAATACAAACACATATCATCTGGTTGCCTTTGCGCAGTAGGCCATCCCGAGTTATCCCATAGAGGGGTCCGTTTACTTGGGGCAACCCCGCTCAACATGATAGAGGAGCGCTGAAGCATAAGGGTCAAGGTTGGGCGATTCGCGGCCATCTAAACATGGCAATGGTGACAAATGGCACATTGCAGTTCGGCATCCCGTCCTCACCTTTTCAGTTTCAACAAGTTTTGCTCAAGCCTAAACCTCCTTCAGTTTCTTCGAGCCGAAGATGGGATTCGGCTGACCCGGGGACTTTCCACTGGCAAGCTCTGCCCAATTCGGAGAAACGGGCCATCCCAGCATCCCTTTGGATATGCGAAAGACCTGCGACCGCGACCGGGACACCCCGCAAAAAGCCCTGCGAATCGCGAGGAGATGACCAAGATCACCGACTACGCGGACCCCTCGACCACGGTGATGCTCCAAGCCTTCAACTGGGAGAGCCATCAGGCAGGGAAGGGGAACTGGTACGGCATCGTGGAGTCCAAGGTGGACATGCTGAAGGACACTCGGTTTCGCATGGAGACCAAGTTTGGACAAACCAAGAGCGACTGGAACAGAAACGGTTTAGAAACACAGAAAACCACAAGCAATCAAGCAATCAAACCAAACGGACCCACAAAGGTTCAGCTGATCCGGGCTGCCAGGACATGGGCATCACCGACCTCTGGCTCCCGCCCTGCTCTTCTTCGGTGGCCCCGCAGGGCTATCTGCCCTCGCAGCTCTTCAACTTGGACGCCTCCAAGTACGGGAACAAGGCGGGCGAGCTGAGCAAACCGAAAGGGTGAAAGGTTGACGACAAGGGAAAGGGAGTGTGGGGGACAGGCCCAGCTTGGGAAAACTGGACAAGGTGTTGGCCTTGTTTTTTCTTTTTTCTCTCCGGCGCCCCTCAGCATCCTACTTGGTTTCATGGAGATTTCGGAAGGTCTCCTAGGTGCACCCCTTTTTCAGAGGCTGGTAAGAAGGGAGTACTTGAAACAATTCCTCGACCCCCGTCAGGAGTCACTCCAGCGCCTGCTCAAGAAGCTGCACGAGAATGGCATGCGGGGCATGGCTGACATCGTCATTAATCACCGGTGCGGTGACAAGCAGGACAGCCAGGCAGAGTGGGTCAAAATTTGGTGTAATCGCCATAGTGCAGCGCCATATTTTGAAGCAGGGAGGGAGGGAGGGAGGGAGAGAGAGAGAGGGAGAGCAAGAGCCAGGGCCGCTGGAACGTCTTCACCAGCGAGGGCATCGAGCGCCGCAAGAGTTTCGCTGGGGTCATGGACTGGCAGGCGATCTGGGATTGGTGGTCCATGGATGACTTCAGGAATGTACTGGGACAAGGGGTGCGGGCTACCCAAGTGAACCATTCGAGAGACAGTGGTGGTTTTGTGTTGGTCGGTTTTGTTGATATATCTAGGCGCATGTTGATGTGGCGCAGAGTGTGGGCCTGAGTGACCAAGGGTGATACTTGTAAGGGTGGGGCTTTCGTATGTTCACTCATTCTTCCCACTGGCATTCGCCGAGAACTGTCAGCAAGTATGGGGGTCAAACCTATTGAGAGGTCTCGGTACTGGGTGTCCCCCTTTTCTTTTTTTCAGCTGCTGGCTTGGCCCTTTGGTCCCTCGATGGGGGCGAACGCGGGGGACCCTTTCGCCGTGTAGGGCTGGGCCATCACCCTCGGGGATAAGTTCTCGGACGGCACCGGGGAGCGCGGGCCGGGGAAGTACGATGGGAAGTTCGACGCGGCGCCCGACATCGACCACGGCAATGCCAAGGTGCAGCAGAGCATCCAGATTTGGATGAGGTGGATGCGCCTGGAGGCCTTTGGGGAAAGAAGGATGCGCTTTCTTGCAGATGATTTTGAAAGGCATGGACCGCACGGGTGGCTTGTCATTAACCGTTCAGTCAGTGTGAAGAGGTCAGATGTGTCATCACCAGCGTGGTTTCCTCTTGAACGGGCCCTCAGCGTTCAGAGCGCGCACCTGCAGACTGCAAGCTCGCGTCGCGTGGCGCCTGTGTCGAGGCACAAACTTTGCCAAGAAGCCCGTTCCTCCTCAAGAGGCGAACTTCTTCCTTATGAACTCCCGGCGGGAGCAGGCCTTGAGATTCCCAGCCCCGTGCGAGGCCCGCAAGGTTTACCTCAACCCTTCGCTTTCCTTTTGGAAATGCTCGAGAGTTCGTGCTCGAGAGTTTGGAAATGCTGCGGATCACACTTCTACACTTTGCGCTCCTCTTCCTAGCCTTCCACGGGGAGCATGCTTGCAGCGCCCGCGCAATCATCAGGCTCTCATACGGCTGTCAGTTTCCTGACACTCTTGAGGTGCAGTCAAGTGACGCCGTTTGCTTTTCCGCGAGCTTTCGACCCAGCCGATGTCTTAGAACGATTTAGCACGCGTGCCTGGGCCCGGTGTCAGCTGGCGATGTTCTTCTAGAGGGGCTGGCGGTGACATCTCACCACGTCGCAGCTGGTAGCTGCCGGCTTGGTTCGCGTCATGTGCACAGACAGGGTGTTGTTTGTACATGCATCTCTCGCATGTCGGGTCACCCTCGTCGTATCTGGTCTTGCCAGTGTGGCGCAGGACGCGCAGATGGACGCTCGTTTTTTGTAAGCGTTGCTGTCCTTCCGTTTCCAGCCTGGTGCATATTTTACATCCGTTTGAGTGGTTGGCTTCATGGCTGCCCGGGCTGGAATGAGGCCGATCGTGTTGTGGCCACCTGTTTGAAGGCAGTTTTGAACCGTGACCGAGGGATGAACCGTGACCAAAAGAAAGTGTTACCATTGTTACACCCAAGCCCAGGATTTTGGAGGCTTAGCCTGCAAGTATGATCCTAGCGTCCCTGGGCCAATTGTCGCTTTGCTCGACCCAGCTCTTTTGGCGAGGTGGGTTTTGATGCCTGGCGCTTCGATTTTGTCAAGGGCTACGGCGCGGAGTACGTGGGCCTCTACTGCGGCGCGGTCTGGTCCAGTGTGTTTGATAATTCTTCTGCCCCCTCCCCCCAACTGCCACTTTGAGACGTCAACAAGGTAATCCCTTCAATGTCAGCCAGCCAAAACAAGCCGTGGGCAAGCAAGGCAAGAAGACGGAACCCGCCTGGGCGGTGGGGG